AGTGTGTCATAAATCCAATGTCTATATCGAGAGAGGGATAGATAGAGAGAGTGGTGAGGGTGCTTAGCTGGTAGCTGTAACACCAGGCTAAGGACTTTATAAGGTCTGCAAGGGTACAGCAGGCAACAGCCCTGAGACCAGGAGAGGGAATTCATATGAGAGAGAGAAGGAAGACTGCACTTTGGCACTGGGGGAGTAGCATGAAGCTGGCAGCACCTTCTCAGGGTCTGGGAAGAGACCCCAGGACTGTGAGTCACCCTTCTATGAACTGTGTTTATGGACTTGTTTGAGCTCACAGTAACTCTGAACCTGCTACATTCCAATGAGACACCCATGCACAACATGCTAACAGTGTGCTTGGGGTGTACAGCAGCATATCTCACCGACAATAAGTGTATCACATGGTGGAGTATGTGGTAATAACAAAAAATCCTGCCATCATTTCACAGTTAGCACTTCTATATTGTCTTCACAAGTCCAACTCACAATATCTTGTGGTTAGCAAGGACTACTATGGAAATTTAAGGTGGTCCTTTATTTGGAAGGTAAGTGGACAGTTATCTGTCCCCTAGTTAAAAGTTAAGGGCTAGTGAAAATCCCCTTAATCACCTGAACCCCTCACTTGTGAGGCTGAGGCCTGCAGGGGAATAGGGGCATTGGGACATTCTGGCAGGACTTCCACCTTGGATAACACGATGTCGAGGCCTGTCTGGTACATAAGATGATAGCACAGCCTGTCTCTGACTGTGGCTGCAGTGAGATTGTACCCATAAGAACAAATAAAACATGCTCATGCATGTTGTATGCTCATGTCACAGCCAAGACCTCACATCACCACACTCCTTCTGTTCTACCACCAACTGGTGCACAGAACCACACCAACAAAGAACCCATTATACATTACTCCATGTAGCAGGATGGCTGGCAGAAGCTTGCAGCAGCCTGTACACTCCTAGTTATAGGAGCCTGCAGGTTGGCAGGGACTACAGCCCAGCTATGGGCAGTAATGTCTGATTGCAAGCTGCCTTGGAGGACTAAGCAGTTGACACAGATTAGTAGCTGGCAATAGGAAGCTAAAGGCTCCTAGGGAAGGGAGCTTGGGTCAGATAGAGAGAGAGAGAGGTGAGGGTGAGGGTGCTTGTCTTATGACTACAATTCCAAGCTAGGTACTCTCCCAGGGTCTGCAAAAGACCCAGGACTGCAAGGCTGTAGCAAGCAGCAGCCCTGAGCCCAGGAGAGGGAGCTCATATGAGAGAGATAAGGAAGATTGCAAGGTGGCACTGGGGGAGCAGCATAAAGTTGGCAGCATCTTCTCAAAGTCTGGGAAGAGACCCCAGGACAGTTAGTCACTCCTCTATGAACTATGTTGATGGACTTGTTGGATCTTGCAATAACTCTGAACCTGCTGTGCTCCAATGAGGCACCCATGAACAACATGCTAGTAGTTTGCTCAGGATGTGGGAATAGCGACACTGGGACATTCTCACAGGGCCTCCACCTTGGATAACATAATATTGAGGCCTGTCTGGTACATAGATGATAGCACAGCCCATCTCTGACTGTGGCTGTGATGAGATTGTCTCTGATGCCTTTTACCCATAAGAACAAATACAACATGCTGTTGTAATGTTTTCTCCTATCTGACTTAAGTGTTAATTCACATTACAGTCATAACACGTCTAAGAGGAATCCCACAGAACTGTCTTATTGCTGGCTTACTGCATTTTACTGTATTTAACTATTCTTATTACCAGTTATGGGAAAAGTTTATGAACCCGCGTGCAGCACGAAAAGGGCTCGGGTCGCTTCCGGCCTGCACAATGTGTACTTGTGTTGTCAAAAACCAGCCCAATTACTGGAATACACTTTTAAGTAAAGGCAGTCATGGGAAAAGTTTATGAACAATGTAACTAGTTAAAGTTAAAAGTTAGCAGACTTTAAAATTAACTTGAGTTAAGTTAAAAGTTAAATATCTCCACTTTCAACTAGTTAAAAGGAAAGTTAAAAAGAGAGTAACTAGTTAAAAGTTAAGTTGATTCGTGAGAAATACATGCAACACGGTGAATTGCCTCTTAGCATCATTTTTCATTTTCAAATGTAATGAGTGGGTTTCTTTTCCATAAGCCCGCCAAAACACACTAATTTACTCAGAACTCACCCTGCTTTATTTGAAAACAATGTTATACTTGTCGTACAGTTTTCAGAATAGAATTTACTCAGAATTCACCCTGCTTTACCTGAGAAGAATGTTATACTTGTCATACAGTTTTCAGAATAACAATTTACCAATACCTATGTACTGTTAGATCCTTCTCACCCTCTCCATGTGAAGTACTTTGTAAAAGTCAGTGCATCATATAGGTATACCAGAATAACAAAAAGGAGATATATTCATAGCCAGGTGACAAATGAAAGCTGTTTCCGCAGAAAACCTGTTGTTACATTTTTTATTGCTCAAAAGGTAACAAAACGGTATTAAATACATCTGAATTAGAAATAATGAAAGTGTCTGAAAATCAAAATTAGATTGAAATGAGAAAATCAGTTTAAATGAGAAAAAGACTGTTCAGTTGCACAACAGAAACTGTTTAAACATGCTTACTGAACTTCAGCAAAAGCTGCATTTCAAAATTTACATCTGACAATTTTCCTCTTCTGTCTTGCAAAACTAAGCCACTACTGAACAATAGCTTTACATGGGCAGATGAGGGAATTGCTTGTGTTATAACGGATGAATAATTTTTTCATAGTAGGTGACATCTCAGATAACTTTCTCTCAGATGAGAAGTAATGCTCAACTTCTTGGGCCCTGGGCTGCTGGTTCTGATCTTCATTAAAATTTAAAAAGTCGTCATCTGCTTCACCCTCACCACTTGCTCCCACTCTTACTGAGATCAATGTCTCTCCTTGCTTGTGCTTGTTCCCTCTCCTGCAGCCAACTGGCTGCCCATGTTGACTTCTGCAAATGTGCAGAAAATGCCAGCATGAACTAAGGAATTCTGGGACTTGCAGTTTTCAAGAGACCATAGCCCATAGGAAGGCACACTACTCTCTCTCTCTCTCTCAAACAAGAAGTCCTAGAGTTTCAATAAAGAAATACCATTTCATGCAAGTCCTAGAGAGTGCCTGTGTCAGGAAAACCTCTGGGAAAGCCGGATTTCATTTTTTTTTAACTTTTAACTTATACTTTAAAAAAAGTTAGCCATTTCTTTAACTTTTTAACTAGTTAATTCCCATGACTGAGTAATGGTGTAGCCATTTTGCTCAGTCCTACAGTCTCAAGGCGAGAGCTTTTTCTTACTATTAGTAAACTTCTAGTTGTCTTTGAAAGTAAAGTTTGCAGTTACGCTTGGCATTTCTGAATCGTCTGCTGGCTGATGTCCAGGCTGCTGAAATGTAACACTAGTTGTGACATTGGCAGTAAGAAAACTTTATTTGAGAGACTGTAAATGAGTTTCCAACCTGCTTTAATCATCATAAATGTCTTTACAGTTAATGTTTCATTTAAACACAATTCCTGTAATTTAGTGCTTTGATGGTATCTTTGAGTTGCTTTTCTTAAACATAGGTCTGTTATGGCATATTTTTAATTACTTTCTGGTGATAGAGAATATAAACTTTGTGTTGTTATTATGGTATGTAGTTCCTGCTTGGTAATTCTCCACTGTTATGGTCTCTCACTGTGAGACTAAGTGTCATATTCTGATATTTCACTGGTGAAGATCGAGAGTAGTTGCACTGACAGCAAGAGAGTGAGGATTGGAGTTGGGACTCACTGGTGTAAGTGGGGTGGGAATCTAGCTCTAAGGCTTAAAATTTGCCTGATACTAATTTTCTCAGAAAGACAATGAAGTAGCATCTGTTAGTTTCAACAGATTTAAACTACCTCACTGTAATGAATGCATGGGATCAATGTGTATGGCCATCCATAATTAACACACATCCATTTTATAATGCTGTACTGATTGTAATGCTCTTAACTCCATATGAGGAAGAGAGGTAAGTGGATGTTATTCCTTATTTACAATTAAGAATGGGAGGAAATGGATAACTGGAGATAATGAAAAGGGGAAGCAAAGAGCTACACTGTGTTAGTGACAGAACCACGATTGCAAGAAAAACAACCCATTGATGCAGTAACCCAGTCTGCCCTAATAACTGTTAATACAAACAGACAGTGGTTCAGATGGACATCAGAAAGTCTTAACCCACCAATCAGACACATATAGTGACATTTTCTCTCCATTTTCAAATAAGCCTGAGAACTTTTTAGTGAAAATCAAGCTATTTATCTGAAGTGTTGGCTTGTACATGATAAGATAGTTAAGAAAAATGTAAATATACCTTCAAAAGTGGGTCCAAAAATTGACTCACCATCATCTCCTCTTCCGCCTGCAATGTCTGTACATTACACAAATACAAGGATTAGAATTCAGATTAATACAATTATTGGCCTTAATTAAAATTATCTTTTGGTAGTGTCAGCAGATGTCAAAAACATGGATTATGCCCAGGCAGACAGCGGCACTTTCACAGAGCAGTATTTGAAGCCTGCATGGGTGCACTGGTCTGCTTGCACACTATTAGTTTCAGGAATAACTGGATGCTTCAGCACCCTTGATGGTAGTGGTGTATGAAAGTACCACTGTACTTGAATAAATACTGGTTGGAGTAGGAACAGCCAAAAGGGAAAAAAAGGAAGAAATTAAGATAGAAGAGAAGTTGAGAGGAAGAAGCAAAGGAAAACATTCAAAACAGACCTATGTTTACTGCACTGGTGAGTTTTCTTGCATTATGAGTAATTTATTATGCCTTTCTCCTAGATTCAGAATGCCACTATTTATGAATAACTGCTCTTCATCTGTGCTCCAGTTTATCAAAACTATGGATTCCTATATTTGCCTAAATGATTTACTAAATTAATGTCTCTGTAAAGTATACTGTAGGAAGGTTATTATAATTTGTATTGATGTTTTAATGTTTCCAGGCAATTTCCCAATTTCTTGCCAAAGGATCTGTGAAAAAATGTTGAATGATAAAAATCTAGCCTTTTTATCTATACTTGACTCTCATTAGGAAATGAGATGACCAGGAGAAAAGATGGCATTACTGGATATATAATATCTCAGTTAAAACCTTGTTCTTCACATATTCATTACATCGCTAAGATCAGGTTCATTTTGTTGGAAGAATATTATGTCACCCATGCAGATTATTCCATCCAAATTCTGGTATTACTCAGATTGACTAAGGGCATTTTTAAACATACGTATTACTCAGATTGACTAAGGGCATTTTTATCCATCCCTCCTCCTTGTATCCAGCCATTTTTTACTATTCGATGAAAAATGGATTCTTTGTAAGTGAGTTGCAGACCACTGCGAGAGATCCCTGCTTCTCCTGTACACAGAGCACAGAAATTCTCACAAGTCTTGGGACATGCATCAGAATAGAGCTACAAAATGAAGGGGAAGGGGGGAAAAAAGAGATGATGTGACAGGCATAATTAATGTCAAAATGTCAGATCTATGCAGGCCTTTCTCTTGCAAGCAATGGCTGCAATTTGTTTTTCCTATGTAGCTTACCTCAAACAACAGTGTCCCTAAGGGTTGCTCCTGAATAGCTGCATCCAAATACACAAACACATGCTGTTAAATCAGAAAGACAAATCCAGTTACAAAATTTGAAATAATTCATATAAATGTTCACTAGCTTGGCTGTTCATGTGAACAGTCTCCTGAAAATCTCAGGGCTTAAACTTTTTCACATTGAATATCTGAAATATTCACCCAGACTCAGGTACCAAAACAAGTTGTAAAATGGTGAAGTATTAGCAGCCTAATCTAGGATTTTGTTGAAACAAATTCAGCACATTTTATTAGGCTTGGAAACAAACTATCCAAAGCACTGTGAGATATGAGTCAGGGCTCATTTAATCCGTGCAGGAAGTAGAGGCAAGATCACATAAACCAATGCACAACAAACGAATCCTTAGTAATGCTAATTTATCCACCAAAGCAAATAATTTTTTTCTAGATGATTGACCATTAGAAATATTTAAAGGGGTAAAAGAATAAAATTCTAGTCAGCAAGTAGAAAACTAATTCAACAGCTATAATGGATAAATTGATCTCTGTGGGGGAAAGGATTTTTAAAATTGCAACAAATGAATAAGGTTTTCCAGAACATAAACAAAAATTAACCAGTTCATTAAACAGTGTGAGGAGCTCTAAGTAGGGCCACCTGAAAGACTTCAGAATGTGGATTCAGAAAAGCATTCAACAAATGAACTGCTTATCAGAAGCATGTCCAGATAAGCTTCTTATGGAACCATTGCTCAGTTCAAGGGAAGTTCTGCCATTGAGTTCAATGCATCCAGAATTTCACATCCCAAGTCCATAAACTAGGTGGGAAATATCAAGAGAATAGGTTAGAAGCAAGTTTTTCTGTCATATCCTTTACTGGTCCAATTGTATAGCTGGGAGAGATGTTAGACAAGCTTTTGAGCAAAAAGTGCCCCTCTTCAGGTCCTGAAGAGCACTTCACGCCCATAAGATATTACCAAGAAAAGATATTCCCTCTTGACTAAGGAAAAGACTCTAATTTTCTTCCCTCTGGATATTTAGAAGGAAAGCACTATCCTTTTTGCACTCCTTTATCCAAATGCACTCCGGAAAACTCTCTCATCCTTCTGCCTTCTACCTTCCTTCTCTCCCTCTAATGACAGATGTTAGGGGACAATAAGGTTGGATGTCTTGATTTTTCAGCCCAGATCTGGTTTTCCTGGGATACCGTGATATTAAATTTCTATCTTGGCTCAGTGATGTAAGAGTCAATTCCACAACCCAAGGTCACTCTTTCTTCCATCTTGTCTGTTCCCTGGCTATGATAAATAATGCTTCACCATCTTTGTGTGACAGTGGGTTTCAAGCATGTGTTGCTTTTTGCTATAGCCATGGGTGGATCTAGGATTCTGAAAAGGGGGATGCAGCTGGTGTGGCACATCTTCACATTTATAGATTCATAGATGCTAGGATCGGAAGGGACCTCAATAGATCATCGTCCATCTTGTCTGTTCCCTGGCTATGATAAATAATGCTTCACCATCTTTGTGTGACAGTGGGTTTCAAGCATGTGTTGCTTTTTGCTATAGCCATGGGTGGATCTAGGATTCTGAAAAGGGGGATGCAGCTGGTGTGGCACATCTTCACATTTATAGATTCATAGATGCTAGGATCGGAAGGGACCTCAATAGATCATCGAGTCCGACCCCCTGCATAGGCAGGAAAGAGGGCTGGGTCTAGATGAACCCAGCTAGATGCTTATCTAACCTCCTCTTGAAGACCCCCAGGGTAGGGGAGAGCACCACCTCCCTTGGGAGCCCGTTCCAGACCTTGGCCACTCTAACTGTGAAGAAGTTCTTCCTAATGTCTAGTCTAAATCTGCTCTCTGCTAGCTTGTGGCCATTATTTCTTGTAACCCCCGGGGGCGCCTTGGTGAATAAAACCTCACCAATTCCCTTCTGTGCCCCCGTGATGAACTTATAGGCAGCCACAAGGTCACCTCTCAACCTTCTCTTGCGGAGGCTGAAAAGGTCCAGGTTCTCTAGTCCCTCCTCGTAGGGCTTGGTCTGCAAGCCCTTAACCATACGAGTGGCCCTTCTCTGGACCCTCTCCAGGTTATCCACATCCCTCTTGAAGTGCGGCGCACAAAATTGCACACAGTATTCCAACTGCGATCTGACCAGCGCCCAATAGAGGGGAATTTAATACAACACACATTTGTCTCCTGTTACAGAGAAACGAAAATCTTCCTTAATATATAGGGGGCTAGCCCTATATTCAGTTTAAGATCAAAGCAAAAACAAATATAACTTTTGGAACATGCACTAATTTGCTAGATTATATATACATTTTGAAAAATACACAGCTAACTGGGCAAAAAATAGTCAAAATGAGCATCTTGACAGTGCCTCCAGTGCTTCATCTCCAGTCATTTCTACACCTGAGTTAATAGTAATGCACGTGAATTAAGGTTTTTACCTACAGCTAAAATCAGTCTTCAGGTCTGTGAAATAGAAGAGACATGACCAGGAATGGCTAACAGAGATAAAAACTTCAGAATAAAGGGTAGTCTGAATAGTGGAACATCAAGACCACTTGAAAGGGTAGAGGGTCATTAATACCTGTGCAATGGAGAAAGACTAGCAGAAATCAAGGAGATAATGAGCCATGAAGCCAACTGACTCTCTCAGCACTTCCAGAGCAGAAATGTTGTTGCCCCTTCCAAGCAGTTGGTTTTAAAGTTTGGGCGGAACAGGAATCAAAGGAGGGTGCAACTGCACCCCTGCACCTTCCCTGGATTCCCCCCTGGCCATAGCTCTCATGTGGTGCTGGCAGTGGCGGAGGGAAGAACTAGGAACTACAATGCTTCTGTGTCCTTTCATTCCTTGTTGGCTTTGAAATTTTGCCCAAAGCACATGAGGCAAGGCAGGGAGCCTTAGCTGGGCTTTTACTTAGGATCACTAATTTGCGTATTTCACTAGAAATACTGTAGCATGAACCTTCCTGTTTTGGAAATTTAGAGTCCAGCCCAAGACATTGAAATTTGGGTGGCAGCCACAGGCACAAGGTCCTAAGAACTAAAGACCTAAAAAATTATGTCTATAATGTAACAACCTTGCCCTGCCCCAACACACAACCCCATTGATAAGCCCACATAAAATACCAGTCAGTACAACTAGATAGTTTATGAGTCACAGACCCCACATTTTTCTTTTAGGAAACAAGGACACCTGCCTGGGTATTTTTCATATACTTCTTGCAGAAGTCCTCAGTAATAGCTTGGTAAAGTGCCTCAGGTTTAAAATCCTGATAGTTCCACTTTTCAAAAGCCCACTCGAGCAGTTTCTTCTCATTTCCCAGCAGCTGCCCATCAACAAAACACATCACCCTGGAGGGGTACTCCCATATTTCGCCTCGCAGTTCCTGGAGTAAGATTAAAAATGAAAAGTGACAGGAATTACACTTTGGATGTTGTACAAAGGCATTCATTAAAATATGCTTAGGCTGGTGAGCGTGGCAAAAACACCAACATAATTGGAGGGTTTTTTTAGATTACTTGTGGTTTTGTGCTTTCCCTTCGCTCATACAATGAAAAACAACAGCTCAAAAATGAAACATTAAATGTCTTTCCAAAATCCTATTATGTTACAGGACATTATCCTGAAGAGAAATACCCTGGCTCCATATCTGGAACACCTGAGAGGATTGTACCATAAAACCTGTTCATAAAACTGGGTGTAGTCTCCATTATCTATAACTGAGTGAGGAAGTCTCAGGAATAGCAAGGCTTCTGAGCTACGTTTCAGCAGTCATGAATAATTGTGAGCTTGATAGTTATATTTTTACCAAGGGCTTTTGGTGAACTTCTCCCACCATTTCTTCAGTGCTTGTGCAACTTCATCAAGTAATGGTGAGAGCACTAGCAAAAAGCAACTTCTGGTATTTTAAACAGACCAGGCCAAGGCAACATGGCAGTAAGAACAATGCTGGCTGGTCTACAGTGTCTTTCTCCCATGATCCACTCTGGTGCCACCACAACAATGGAAGCTTAAAAAATACAAAACAAGACACCTGTGTAAAACAGGTTTAATTTGTTTCATCTGAACAATGGTGTTATAATCCAACAGAGGTAACTCAAGAAACATGCGCGGAACTGGAATTTTGAAAAGGGGGGTGCTGATGGAGAGGTGCATCATCACATATAAAACAACACACATTTTTCTCCAGCTAAAAATAACCTAGATGCTTTACTAATATGTTAGGGACTTAGAGCTATATCTTTTAGTTTAAGATTGAAGAAAAACAAATATAACTTCATTGGCATGAGTTAAAACAATCTGCAGGGCTGTGAAATAGGAGCTTCATTACCAGGAACAGCTAACAGCAGAATTGCAGAACAAAGGATAGCCTGATTAGTGGAACATCAACACCATTGTCATTAAGACATGCAGAATGAAGAGTTTAGAAGGGATGGGATAGATTATAATGAGCCATGAAGTCAATTGACTCCCTCAGCAGCTGTCTGACTAGAAATGCTGCTGCCACTGCCAGGCAGTTGGTTTTAACCATTAGGTGGACCAGGAAACAAGAGGAGGTGCAAGTAGACCAGTACACCCCTTCCCTGGATCCCCTTCCTGTCAAGAAATCATAAAAAACAACATTTATAGATAAGTTCTATTCTTTGACATACAAATACAACTTTTACTGAGTTAAAAATGGATCCACTGTACATACCCATTACTATGGCATCTAAATGCATGTTAGACTAGAATAGGAAAATGCATTTTTACAATCTGAGACTATAATCTTGGAGGAATTGCTAGCACTTTGGAGGACAAGAATACATTTTAAAATGGTTTTGAAAAATTGGAGAAATGATCTGAAACCAATAATAACATTCAATTAAGACAGATGCAAAATGCTGCACTTAGGAAGGAGAAATCAAGTGCACAAATACAAAATCAGGACTAGCTTGCTTGGCAAGAGTACAGCAGAAATATATATGGAATTTTGAGTGAATCACAAATAGAATGGATCAATAATGTGATACTGCTGCAAAAAGGCAACACTCATTCTGAGATGTAACGAGAGTGTCGCAGGTAAGACATGGCAGGTAGTTATTCTTCTCTGTTATGTTCTGGAAGCCTCAGTCGGAGTCCTATGTCCAGTTTTAGGCACCACACATTAAGAAACAGGATGACAAACTGGAGGGAGTCTAGAGGAGAGTAACAAGAATGACAGAGATTTATAAAATGTGATTGATAAAAAAAGTTTGAATAAAATGGAGTTTGGTCCAGACAGGAGAAGGGGAAGGGCATGTTAACTGTCTTCATATATGTAAAAGGTTGTTATAGAGTAGACTGGGATTAGTTGTTCTCTGTGTCCACCAATCTGCTTAAATTGCAGCAAGATTTAGGTTAGAAATTAGGAAAATCTTCCAAACAATAAGGTAGTTAAACACTGCAACATGCTACTTAAGGAGACTGTAGAATCCCCTTTTATTGCGTTTTTTCCAGAACAGGTTACACAGCCATCAATCAAAGGTAGTCTAAGTATACTTGATCCTACCTCAGAGCAGGGGGATAAATTAAATGACATCTTCAGATGCCTTCTAGTTCTGCATTCCTATAAAGTTGTTTCTACCGTTGTGAAGAGTTCAGTGGTCTTTAAGGGTAATTCCAGCTCCAATGCTGATTACATGCATTTTGTTTGCCAGTGAAACAAACATTTTTATTGTCAGTGTAACAACCCTATTGAGCAACTCAATAGTTTAAATTAACTCATCAGAGACTTTAACACAGACGCTATCCATATAATCTTTAGTAATTTGTCTTTTGGTTCTCTAGCATTCTTGCAGCCAGGAATTAAGCAAGAGTCCCATGATATATCAGTACAGAGAGAGATTTGCCTAAATACCTAAAGGCGCTTGTACAGGTGATGGGGGTTTAGTCCCCTAAATTGAAATGATGGGCTTTTAATTGTGACTATTAAAAAACCCACTGTTTCAATTTAGGGGCTTCCATCACTGTTAGGGCAAGGGGCCTGATCTTTTTTTCTTTTTGCAAAGCCTGCCCGCCTCTCCCATGGCCAGGGGACGAGCTGCTGGCAGGCCTAGTGGCCCCTCAGCTGCAGGGGCCCCTGGTTCTTCCCTTCACGAAAGCAGCACCCCTGGGGCTGCCCAGGCAGGCAGCTAGTGGGCAGGTGCTTCCCAGCTTAGAGGCAGCACCTGCCGGATCCAACTCTTCCCTGAGCCCTCTGGGCTTCCAGCACCATGTGCACTGTCCCCACCACCTGGGACTGCCTGGGAATGGGCTGGCTTGGGGCAGCATGAGGGAGTGGCAGGAGGGCACCTGGGTGTGCTGGCGGCCAGAGAAGGTGGCGGGGACAGTGAACACTGTGCTGGAAGCCGGTTTTTCCCTCTGTGCTGGTGGTGCCCCCTGGGGTTGCCTGGGTGGGCAGCTAACAGGAAGGTGCTGCCTCAGCTTGGAGGCAGCACCTGCTAGATCCAACTCTTCTCCAGCACCGCATACACTGCCCCTGCTGTCTTCTCCAGCCGCCCTCCTGCAGTGCCAGGTGGCGGGAAGGTGGCGGGGACAGTGCATGCAGCCCAGTGGGCTCCAGTGGGCTCAGGGAAAAGTTGGATCTGGCAGGTGCTGCCTCTGAGCCAGGGCAGCCCTGGACTGCTGGCTGCCCACCCAGGTGGCCCCAGGGGGTGCTGCTGCCATGGAGGGAAGGACTGGGGCATCCCGCAACTCAGGGGCTGCTCAGCCTAGTGGCAGCTCGTACACACAAGCTCCGCCAGAAAAAAAGAAAGTGGCAAGCGGCCCAATCCTTTTTTTTTTTTTTTTTTGCTGAGCCTGCCTGTGGCCTGGGGGCAAGCTGCTGTTGGGCCCTGAGCTGTGGGGAGCCCCAGTCTTTCCCTCCAGTGGTGGTGCTCCTGGGTGGCAGGACCCAGCCCAATATACCTGTTCTCCAAGCCCAAGCGGGGGCAGCCCCCAACCTGTTAGCAGCCCATCCAGGTGGCCCCAGGAGGTGCCATCACCACAGAGGGAAGAACCAGGGCTCCCCACATCTCAGGGACCACTTGGCCCACTGGCAGCTTCCCCCCAGCCCCCTCCCCAAGCCATGGGAGAGGTGGGCAGGCTTTGCAGGGAAAAAAAAAGGATTGGGCCCCTCACCGCTTCTGCCTTCAGCTCACCTCTCCCTTGGCCAGGGCAGGGGGCGAAATGTCAGATTAAACGCTGCAAAGTTACAGGTAGCTACATTGCAGAATAAACTACATGGGGATGTGGTTTATTTTGCAATGTAACAAACTAATTTCAATCGCAAAAAACCCCATACGTGTGAACTCTGTCACAATTAAACCGCAAAAATGGATAATTTTCATCACATGTACAAGCGCCCTAAGTGTTCACTTTTTAATGATTCATTTTGTTTTGACAGTGACATTCATCAGAGGGCAAGAACAAATCTAGCTGGTAAGACAGTAATGCCAAATGCAATTTTGGTAAAAGCAGGCATAGCTCATTTGTCTTAATCGTATTTCAGTTAATGTATGCCAAAGGGAAAATTAGCCCAAAGCTTTCCAGATTAGCATCACCATAGTGCATAAAGTGGTCTAAAGCCCAATGATGTCTATTTTAGTGAGAAGTTTTCAAAATGCTACCTGCCTTTTATAAAACCTCCAATTCCAAGGGTGGCTACATGGGTATATGAAAAGCAGAATTATTTGCCACATATTGGAAACTCTACCCAGTAGTCTGGAAAACATTTTTGGCTGATGCCAAGATGTGGAATGAGATCTATTCTATTCAAACCTAAACATGGTCTGCTTGAATTAGGAGCTAGGTACATTGACAAGAATATCTACAACTGCAATAAATTCCTCAAGGCCAACTTGAAAAAAATGCAACATCAACATCAACTCATGGAAGACGATCACCCAGGGCCACCCCAAATGGAGGAAGTGTCTGATGCAAGGATCTTAGTACTTTGAAACTTTACAAAGACAACAGGAGATGGAAAAGCAGGAGTGGCAGAAACAGCGTGCATCAGACCAAATCAAGAATCCAGAGCTACCCACCCTACATGGAAACACGTGCCTGAGCTGCGGCAGATTGTTGATCCCGGATCAGCTTCGTCTGCCATCTTTGGACCCACAGATAAGACACTCATGAAGACAATCATCCTTGACTGTGAGGGATTACTGAAGGAAGGGAAATTCAGGACTTGGTTTTCTAGTGTTACTAATATTCTCCCTTCTGTACTACAGAATTAGCAGAATTCTGCTAATTTGGAAAGCTTTGGGCTAATTTTCCCTTTGGCATACATTAATTGAAGTATAGTGCATTGGAAAGACCAATACCTGCTTTAGAACTGAGATCTACCTTAGATCCCTTCCCAAGCAAAACAAAATACCTGCTTATTTTATTTGTTTTGGCACCAGATTCTTTACAACTCTATTGAAATTAGCGTTCACGCAAAGCAGATAAAAAAAAGACAGTCTCACCTTTTTCTTCTCCTGTAAATATTCATGCCATGCAACTTCTTGTAAGGGAAGCAATACAGGCTCTGCAATCTTGGTTGGAAAATTCAACCTCAGAGCCTAGAGTTTTTAAGATAAATATTTGTTCAGAGTTAATAGGATAATTGTAGATAATAATCCTATTGCATTTTTGTACGTGAACACTGTGAGGTGTGGTTACTCTGATCACTTCATAATGCAGTCTTCATACTTCCATAGTAAATATGCAGCTAGTTATAGAAGTCTATGCAGACTCCTTTAAAATCAATATAAGTAAGTGTTAAAACCAGAAAACACAAGGGTTTTTTAACACTGTAAAATAGCTCGGTTACAAATACAAACTAGTTACACTCCCTATGCACTATTCAGAGAGAGGTAAATAGAGCCCCACAGGTTACCAGCTCTCTGAGCATCAGCTTTTCCTAACTTCACAGAGAGATGTAGGCTCCTCAGCATCTTGCAAGATCAGGCCCAAGGCCACAGAATAACCAATGTCGCAGCTAGAACTGGGGAGCTCCTGAATTTCACTCTGTTGTGTTGCCTCTGTCCTTTTATCAAGAATACGCTAGAAGTTAGATAAGGGACATTTCCATGAGATCATCTGGGCTCATCTTCTGGGTCAGAGCAGAACTGTTCCCATAAGCACCTTTTCTAAAGATCTATTCAGTCTGCTGTACAATGTTTTAACAATTTATATACCCCTAGCATGAGAATGACAAGATATGAGACCAATGTGAATTAACAGGTTAAATTGCCCTTTGGCAATATACAGTTTTACATAGATTCTGGCCCAATAGCCAGGGCAGATCACCCCAGTATCAGAAGGCTTTCTAGAGCACAGGCTCTCAATCTTTTTGGACTTGAAGCATCTCTCATTGGACATGAAGTGCTCCTGCATAACTTTTGTGAATTAAATGGCACCTTATTTAAAAAACGAACGTATTACAATTTTTATTTGTTTGCAGAAGGGCTGGGCTGTAAGGTAGGGAAATGGCTAAGAAAGGGCAAGCAGGAACCTATGCTTATCTGCTCATCTCCTCACACCTTGCGGCAATCTTCAAAGGATCTTGTGGCACCCACAGTACCGTGGCACCTTGCTTGAGAATCACTGCTCCAGAGGCACAGAGTAAGTATAGTCACTTCTATTCAGCCTCGTTCTCTGCTATTAGAGTAGGATCAGTGGTCATGGGCAAAGAACAAGATGAGGATGTACCCAAACCCTGCAGCTGTTGACAACGGTATAATTTAAGCTGTTTGTAGTAGTACAAGAGGACCAACTCAGCAGACTGCCTCTTCAATGACTGGGATAGCAACAAGGTCAATTTGTACATCCCATCCTGAGCTACACTGTGCACATGACAGGGTGCAAGTCTCACAGCACCTTAGTGAAGTAGAGTGTTGTTTTTTGTCTTTCGTCATGTGGGGGAAACCGAGGCAATGAAAAAGGTTAAGTACCTTGCCCCGGGCTGCAGAGTGAGACAGATGAGGCTTCATTATTTATAACATCATGTTTGGCATTCAGTAAACACAAGCTGCCCTTAGAGTGCTCTAGAAGTGGCTGATGAAGGACTCATCAAAAAAACCCTACATGAATATCTAGATAACAGTGAGATGGAAACCCCCTTGCGTTCTAATCTGTATGTGTTTATCTACTCTAAAAGGATAACAAAATACAAAATTCTTCATCTCCATTTCCTAAAAATATCCAGCTTCTGGCACATCTGCCTGCTTTACTTTTATTTATTTTATATACAAGTGACACACTCCTCACTGTTGATGCAATCTCCTGTTCCTAAAGCTTCTGGGAGGTCTCCCCCCACCCAGGCACGGAAAGTCACAAGTGTTACTCTGCTGCCAGAGTAGCACCAGCAGCCTGGGAGTTACCTCTGCTGCACATTTTGCCACCTGGAACGCAGGTTCTTTGAGATGTCCCACCACCTCCAGCTGCTGCAGCTGCGCAGAGCCCATGGCACCTTCGTCCTACCACACGAGTCGACAGCTTTGTCCTTTAAGATCTTAAGTCACTGCTGCAGCTGCCACCTCCTCAGTCTTGCTCTCCGGGACAGCTGACGAAGCAAACCTAAACAGAGTTCTGCTCACCATGGCAACTCCAATCCCAGCCCTGTGCTCTGCTGTGCCAAGTTCCATAAGCCCCACACATGATACAGGCATCTGGCAACCTTAAAGGGACCCACTGTTTATTTGGCACTGGATAGTAAGCATATCTGGTTTCCATTTTATTCAGTGATAAACCCGACCTAGATCTTTGCTTAGCTGCATCCCAGTTAACTGTTTTACTGCATCCCACTGTAATATCTGGAGGTGGAATTTGCAAGTGTACCTGGAAGTGATTGAGGTACACAGTTCATAGACAGCAGAGACAGTTAAGTAGCAAATCAATAAGTAGCAGAGAAAGGAGGAGATAAGTTATTAAAAAAAAAATCAATAGAAATGGAGAGAACGTTTAGTTTTTCTTCTCGTCAAAGCTGCCTCCTGCTAAAACACTGACTCATAATTAAACTGGGGACCCATAATTAAAGCTAGGGAGGATCAGCAGCTTTAGAGGAATCTGTTTTTTACCACTTGGACAAGTCTAGTAAGTTTTTAGAAATTGCAAGACAAAGTTACATCTTGTCACTTCTATGGTTCCTTTAAAGGTTTCTCAGTATTTTAACATTCATCTCGACACAGTCCCTAGAAGGTAGGAATGTCCTATTATTCCCATTTTGCAGATAAACAGTGAGGCATAGAAATACTGAAGACACAGTGCAGAACCATCTAAAGATGGCTCTGAACAGACTAGCTCAGGTACAGGAAGCATTATCAGTGCCAGGAATCATGCCTCTGCACCTCCCTGACTGACATGACTATGCTTTCTGAAGTCTACTGTAGACATAGCCGCAGGCACTTTTACAAAACCACCACTAATTCATAGTATATTTGAGCATAATAAGGCACCACTGGAGGTGTAGAAAATTGTTCAGTGTCAGCTATAGCACCTAGTTTAAGACAGTGCTCTTACTTATTTTGAGAAGAGCTAAATGTACTTGTTCCTAAAAAAAGAAAAATAGGTCAACAAAACTTAAGATCTTAGAAGTGCTTTCCTGAATTAAGGCCAGGCAAGAGGAGGTTTCTTTCTCTGAATCCAGTACAGGTAAAAATCTCACAAAAAGGATACTGTTCAGGACTTGAACAACTGTAATTTAAAAAAATGAATGCAAGATGAAACAGGCAAATGTGGTTATAAATGAAGATGTTATCCAGTTTGAAAAAGCAAGTACCATTCTTAACAATTCAAGGGACAATTCAACAGTAAATTGGCCTTTTTTTCTTTGACAACATTACGCATATAAAACGTATACAGTCATATGGTTTAACAATTTTTTTAAAGAAAAGGCAATCACTTGCTTGAGGCCCTTATGAATGTTACTGTACCCATGCTTTTGCTTATTCTGTTTAAAAGACAGTGCTTATTCAACAGGAACATTAGAGGTTTCATTAATACCGATATTTGTGCAGCCTGCTAAAACTACAAAGTTCAGTTTCAGTGTTAAAGTCTTTTTATTTGCTTGGAAAAAAAGAGGCAGTGGGTTCCAAAGATGTTATTTTAAATTCCAAAGTGTTGTAAATAGAGCTTTGTTATATATTATATAAAATGCCATTATGTTGCATTTTAAAGTTAGTATAGTTGTAGTATAAATTTAAGAGGTACAGACCCAAGCTCTGAGCGAACTTGTAAACAAACATACACAAATTTGCCTGCGACAGGTTTTTTAAACCTACGTTTATATATTTCCCTTAGTAGTGATGCAAGGTTATTTTTAAATGTATAGCCAAATCAGCGTTGTGAAATGCTCAGAGCTAGACATTAAAAGAAAACATTGAACCGTTCAGGCCAATAGCTATAAACTGTACATGCTAGCAGAAGATTAAAAAAATTAAAAAGAAGAAAAAGAAACCACTAACTATACAAAGGCTGTCAAATACAATCCTCAAATTTCCATCCTTGTCAGCAGCAACTTGTGACCCTGCTGACCATTGGCTTTGTGGTTTCTCTTGCAGATGTGAAAAGGATTGCTCAGGTTGCTTCACTCTCACCTTCAAGAGACTCTAATTTACACTGCTGCTTGTTCACCTCTATTTTTTCCATTTCATCACCTCTCCTGTAGAAGTAGTGAGAGGTGACTGAGAAACACATGCAAGGCAGTTTGATTTGTGACATCTTTGGTGCTTTGAGGACAGTTCTAGGTCTATTTCACCCCACCTTGCCAGTGCATCCTGTGCTTTTTCGCTGCCTGCACAAAAAGGATATATGGAACAAGATATGCTGGTCATAGCTCAGTGTAGGCAAAACAGAAGTGATATTGGTGATTAGAAGAAAGACAACATGCTAGAGCTAATAGCTGCTATTGAAAGTAGTGCCCCTCATTTATGAAACTATGTAAACATAACACCAAAAGCATGCTGTTAAACCAAGTTAGCTACGCTTCAGCAAGCTGTGAGCAGACACTCGTATGGGTTTAAATTTAGCTTACAGTAGTTAAATTTACACTTATAATTTATGGAGTGTTCCAATTTCATTTCATGACACAAATTAGTATGGAGGAATTAGTATTTCTCTTTATTTTATGGAAGACAGGGCTTATACTCACTAGAAAACAAAAAAAGATGTAGCTATAGGCTAAGTACAGACAGTCAAAAAGCCCAAGGTTAAATCAGTTCAGACTTCACAGGTTAGTCTAAGCTGCATAGACTGGACCGGTAAGAGAGTGAACAGACATTCTCTTTTGATTCTGGAAATGCAGTCACATGCCTGCAGTGGCCCAGGCCAGATGTCAAGGGGTGCTAGAGCACACCTCCCTGCTCTGCTGAAGCAAACAGCTTGGGTCAAGGCTAGCCCACCCACCCTGCAAGGGCAGGCTTCCAGGATAGGTGCAATGCATCCTTGGGTGCTGTGAATTAACTTAAATCTGGAGGAGATCTGGAACAGAAGTTCAATAAACTGAGTTAACCTAAGTCAGTCTGATACTGAATCCATCCAGGTTTATCTTAAACTGGTTTCGGCCCTTTTGAAAGTAGTTGATATGCACTGAAGTTCTGTTGCGTTACATGTTTGAACTAGTTTCCAATCACTTATACCAATTTGTGTGTAATTTCTGTTTATATCCCATTGGGCATGTTTACATGAAATGTTTATTATATAGTTGACTAATTAACTGCACAGTAAACATATTGGTGTCTACATGTGTGCCCCTATTAAGGTGTGCCAAACTAATGAACTCTGCCATAGGGTAGTACCTGTAAATACAAGTATCTATCCTGTGGCAGAGTTCATTAGTGCAGTGCTGCTCACAAATAAACTCTACCACAGGACAGTACTTGTAAATACTTAGTAATTGTGGAAAACATTTACAAGTACAAAATATTTACAAGTATAACCCTGCAGCAGAATTTACTCATGCACAGCATTGCATATGTGGGCTGCCCTATACATGCTTTGCATAAATAAACTCCAGAGCATATGATCTGGAGTTTTTTGCTCCCAGGCACATGTTCAAATGGTGCATCCAAGAACAAAAAACTGGACATTAATGTGTGATTAATGTGCACATTAATCACACATGTAGACATGCCCATTGTAGACAAGGCGGATATTTTTCTACACGTTGTTGCTAGGAGCAGTAAAACCTAGGCATTCTCCAGTTAGCTGCAAGTGACCGAACCAAAAAACAGTGGCAAAACCACCTTGGCTGTGGTGGACAAAGTTTTGGGGCTGCTTCAGGTCAATGCTAAAAGGGAACCAAAACAAAAGATTTAGATATGTAGCTTTAGTTTGGTGCTTTTTCCTTTTTCTCTAGACCTGCACGTTTTTAGAGCATCACAAATCAACACAACAGTGATAATTTCACACATTTTTCCTAACTGTGTATTTAATTTACATCATTTATGCCCAGCTCTCCATTCTAAAGCTCCTTGATTGGTACCCCTTCCTGAAAGCTTCAATTTATCCTCAGCCAAGCAAAGCCAGATTTGAAACAATTCCTGATGCTCTTGGCCAGCCCTCATTTATGCCAAAATGTTGCAAAATATATAAAATTGCAACGTTTTAACCCTGCAATGCTGCTGCAAATGAAGCCTATCTGCTTGTGCTCATTTTTTTAAAAAGAACATCTAATTTATATAAACTATTTCTGCCTTTCACTTCTGGAGGGGTGGGGGGGCGGCTTCTCATCATTTCAAGGAAGGTAAGTGCAAAGAATGTAAACATTATAGTTTAAAAAAAAACAGGGTGCATGGCTGTAACTACCAGAAGAAATGAATAAAAGGAGGTAGGTTAACAATTTAACTAAACAAGCCCAATGCTATTGTTACCTGTACAGGACTACATTTTATGAAAATTCTAGATTGATATTATGAAGTTATTAAACATGAGCTTTTTAAAATACTTTATGTCACAAGAGATTAAATCTGGAGTTATATTAACTTTCACTCTCCAAATTAGATATATCAAAATCTATTTTAATGATTTTTCCAAATATCAGTGTCAAAGTGGGACATGAACCAGAACAGATTCACCTCCATACATTTCAGTGATCCATGTCATCAATAGAAAACATCACACTTGGTATCTTATTCATAGGAAATTATGCTACTAAATGGATTTGTATCTTTAAATATACACAACCAAGTTTTTATTCCGTGTTGCTTGCAGCTACACTGTGGTTCTTAAAGGAGTCATGCTCCACAGTACAATTTAAAAAAAAAAAAGCAAGGTCCAGAGTAGGTAGGTTAGATATTTATAGTGCACGCACAGAACTTTCAACACAACTAGAAGGTAACAAACATTTTCACACAAAAACTCATTGCCATGGACCACTGGCAAAATGGGATTCAGGAAATGCTTGGCTCATATACATACATAAGGGCCCTTCTACATGTGCAGGTAAAGGCACAATGGGATCTAACGCAGGATCCACACAATTGCACCTCTTGCCATGCACAACATACATGGCAGAAGGCGTGATTGTGGGATCTCAAATCAGATCCCATTGCACTTGCGGCACACAGTAGCTCTTGGGTTGCTTTTAAATGCCAAAGGTAATCTCTCCTACTTAAAAAGGTTGGAGACCATTGTTCTCTGGTATGGTTATCCAAGATGAGCAGAAGTAGTCTTTATGGAGCACACTTGTGATCAGAATGATAAAAAAAAGTTGTAAAAGTATAACTTCTGAAGCGTCCAAGTGTGCTAGATACTTTATAAATAGCAAAACAGCATCTACTAGAACTGGCTGTGTATGAAATGGATATGACCTTGATTCCTGGTGGAATATTTGAATACTTGTCGACAGGTAAGGACACATACTCAATCTTTGTCCCTTTGAAGAGCCAATTGAAAAAAAAGAGTGAAGTGGCAGAACAAATGCATAAGCATGAATAGTATTAACAGAAACCAGAATCTCAAGAGAGAATTCTAACTCTGTATGTTCAATCATGTTACAATACTGCATTTATCTTTAATTAATTAATTATGGGAGCATTTTCTTATATTGATTACATCCAAAACCCAAATCTTAATAATGTCACTGTTTATCAAGATGTGACATGATAGTTGAGATAGTTAGATGGCAGGAGTCTGAAGTCTGGCAAAAGGCAGGGTAGATTTGTACCTTATAGACTAACTACGTAAATCAGAGACGTACCTCTGATTTAGCTTATTAGATGCAAATCTACCCTACCTTTTGTATGATAGCTAAGTCATTAGGAACTTTTAATAGTGCAGGGGAAATACTTGGAGCATTTTGTTTGTATGACAATGGTGGATGAAAGGCATTTGTTTAAAATGTGTTAATCAGGCTCACTTTGGAAGTCTTCCTAAACAGAAGCTGAAGATGTTTTTTTCCAAATCCAAAGCAGTCAAAACACTATTCTTAAAAAAAAAAAAAAAGAACATCACATGAGTGTGAACACAGAATACCAAGTCTTATAATTTTCATTTTAATAGAAATTTACACACTGAGAAGCAAAATGAGTGGTGCAAACTTTCCAGCGAAAGACAAAATTTATAGGCAATGAGAAAAGTGCATGGTTTCTCACTCTTGAGAACAACCAAAAGAAAAGAAGTTGCTATTTTTAAACAAAACGGTACAAGATTAGTGATTCATTCTCTTGTTCACATGTTGGCTTTTTTTAGAGACTGTTCTATTCCTAGTCTTACAAATGATTGAAGCACTTGTAGTAAATAAGAAATCTTTCCATTTCAGGTACATCTAGTATCTGCTACATAACTGCAATACAGGGGTCAGCAGTGAGGGCTGCTTTAGAGAAATACAGTTCTAAACATGTACCACCTCAACCCTAACCCACACTGCCAGAGCTGGAGCCAGAGTCACCACTCCAGCCACCCTGGAGTCACCTTGCAGCACCACCACTTCTTCCCACCACAGAAGGCTCCCTGGCTTTGCAGGCCAAAGACACTAGCTCGGAGGGCGAGATGTGGCTTGCAGACTGCAGGTTGCAAAACACTGTAGTATGATCAGAGTTATACCAATACATTAGTGACAACTTGGGTATTAATGTGAAGATTAACAACTCGAAAACACCATTTTTCTTAAACTTTAATAATTAGCTTGCTTTCATTACATAGTCTCTTAGAGCTTAACCAAAGAAAGCTGCAACTTGTTTTAAAGCATTTTAGAATTCACATGATTATGAAATGGAGATTGAAGTCTTACACAAGGTTATACAAGCCTGTGGCACAAGGCAGGATATGCTGTATATACAGCAGTATTGTCAACAAAACGTTACCTTGCAATGGTTTAAGAACCAGGAGAACAATGTAAATATTATACCATGATTTTGTAAGAAGAACAAACAAGATTTTCCTAGAGGCGGTAAATAAAAACTTATTTATATTTTTTTAGTTTTTGCAGCATCAAAAATCTTCAGTTATAAAATATTCTAGCTCTCTTTTGTTGCAGGCTTTCCAGGTTACATAAACAAGATAGCATTTTTCCATTTTTGGAGGAAAGTTAGATAACAAGTAAGCTTAAAAGCAACAATAGCAATTTTGGAGTTGGAGAACAATTCATCTTTAAAAATAAAATTTACCCCCACTGCCTCACCTCCCCATATCAACTTTTATATACATTGACATGCCAATAGCTTTTGAAGGAAGCCAAGCTACAGCAGCACATTCCCAGTGGCCAGCTCAGCACTTTGAATTTACAAATGGACAAACACCCAGAATTGCCAATTCAGATCAGTGGCTTTCTGTTTGGTCATTTGGATAGTCAGCCATATGGGAATATTTTTTTTTAAATAGTCAAACAAAAAATAAGTAAGAAGCTGCAATAGACCGTAACTGAGAATTAAAAGCAGTGCAACAGATAGACATCTAATGGTTCACCTGGATTTTAACACACACATTAAGGAATATTTTTAGTAACTGAACCCTTAGCTGCAGCACGTGCCCTACCCCAGCTTCCTTTTCTGGGATGTCTTTTCAATAAGATTTCAGCTCATCTTCCCTACCAGGCAACTGCATTAGTGACAAACTGCACACATCTACTCTAATTAACAAAAAGCCACGCTACTTTTAAAAAGCTTAAGAGATGTGCCATATGTGACTTTATTCTTTGTTTCACTTGCAGTGAAGACCAGGTATAACCTTTTCCATATATTAAGTCACGTTACAGTCTATACTCAAAAATACATAAAAATTGTTTGAAAATATAAACTCGCTCCTAAGCCAAGACAGAATCCTGGAAGAAATAATATTTTGCACTTATGCAGCACCATACAGCAGAGTCTTCAAAGTGCATTGCAGAGGCAGTTAAACAGTAGCCACATTTTTATAGGTGAGGAAACTAAGGCACAGGGAGGCTAGGCGACTTGCCCGAGGTCATACAAGCCAATGGCAGATACAGGAGTACAACTCTGACTTTCCTGTACTCCTCTTTAGCTACTGCATCCTGTTGCCTCTACATTAACTGCATTGGTTTAACATTTGTCTCAGGAACAAGACTTCTATAACATGAAGAAGTGGTGTACCAGAGCCAGTCAGTTTCAAACAAAAGCAAAAGAAAATGTAGTGTTCCATAAATCAAAATTCACTTAAGGCAGGAGTGTCAAGCTTACCTCCTGCCCTAAACCAGATTAGGACCACAGGGCTCCTTGTGGTCTGCATCCAGCCCAGGGCAAAGCGTGGTTCTGGTGGGGGCAGCTCTGGTTCCTGCCTGGTACACAGTGGCAAGCGGCAGCTCTGGTCCTGATGCATGCTGCATGCCCCATACTGGATCTGGTGCTGCTGCCGCTACTATGGGCCAAGGCAGCAGCACGTGGGGTATACAGCAGTAACAGCTCTGACACGGGGCATGCAGCATACAGTAGTGGCTGGGCCACTAGCCAAGGAAGTAGGGCTGCTTCAGTGGTGCTGGGCAAAACAGCTGGAGGGTGTGATGGTATCCGCTCTGGGCTCACCCTCTTGCTGCTGACTGCCATGTCCACCAGGGCCCAGGAACCCTGGATTCTGTGGCAAGCCACTCCCTTGGCCACACAGCCCAACTTCTGGTGGCCTGTTGGTAGCCTGGTGGGCCAGGCAGAGCAGCTTCACCAACTTAAAGGAATGATGACACTGGAAGTTATATGTGAACTTGGAGAGAGACAAGCTCATTGAATAAGACAAATGGTGATAATTTTGTGAAAAGCTTTGCCTGTGTTGAAAGGTAGAGTAGTTCAGATACTGTTAAGTTTGACTTCTGCAGAGAGGCCATGCAGACATCTAGAGTAATTAACCCTAAAAATAAATGAGCCAAAATAAACTGATCATCAATACAACTTTGGATAGCTAATGTGCTGCAGAAATGAAATGAAATGTGATACCTGTAATCAAGGTTATCCAACTTTTGAGCATCTGGGGACCATATACCACATGTGATGCACATGCAGTCTCCTCTGGCCCTCCCAGTCACACACCCCAATGCCCCCCCACCATTCAGGGCCCCCCAAATGTCAGGCTCAGTGGGCCATACTGCCCCATTCCCAGAGGTGGAGGGAGGAAGTGGAAACTGGAGGAGGGAGGAAGAGACTGGAACGCCAGTGGTGGCAGCAGCTGGAGTGATGAGTGGTGCCCAGGTAGGAGCCCACAGACCACAAATCAATCCCTTGCAGGCTGCCAGCAAGCCATGAATTGGACAGCACTGATGTAGTTCAGTATTGAACAACTGGCTATGTCTCCTGCCCAGATGCCACTCACCATATTGCTCTGGTTGCAGCAGCAGTCTCCAGGCTCTCCCTCCCTCCTCTGGCTTCTTTGTGCCCTCCCCCAAGGGCAATGCAAGGGGGCTGAGGGTAAGATTATGTCTATGTGGGTATATGGTGCAGTGGTGGTAGTGGCACCTGTACAATGCAGCAGGGGGGCATCTATGCAGCCCACAGCCTGATTTTAGTGAAGCCTGGTGGGTATGTCTAGTCCCTTGCTGCTTATATGTTAGACAGCCCTGATGTAGACCACTGCCTACAGAGAAGTACCTTACAGCTCAATTTAGTGGTGGCAAACAACAATTTAAGAAAGGAACAAGGAAAAACACAGGCCTGCATTTCAAAAAACCTGACCTTGAATTGGATGCTCATGAGATGGCTGATTTACTGACAAAGATTGTTGATCCGATTCATTCATGTGTATGTTTTGATTCTGTTCTTCACTAATTTGATGGGGCTGGACTGTATCTGGGCTAATATGAGACTGATGACTAGGTTCTTGGCTCAGCTGCATGTGCCGAGTTGGATGTGAAGATCCTGCTGTCAAATGAATTTCTTCGGTTTGTCCCTGATGTGTATGGAGATGTTCCAGTGTCTCCTTTGAAAGAGTGATGACATGCATTTGCTCAGGCTGTGCAGTTTCTATTTGGTTCTCTATCATATTTATACTTTGGATTTGTTCTGCTTGTTCTTGTTGAGCTGAAAGCAGCAAGTTCTGCAGCTGCTGTGATGGCTGAGTGAGTAATGTGAGATTAGCACCTTGATCTGCTGTCATATTTTGGGAGTTCTCAGCAGCAACAATACTAATACCTTGGCTGTGGCCAGGCATGAAGTTTATGTTATGTACTGAATCAGTGACCAGTAACTGAATCTCTTGCCCTCCTGATGTGGACAGCTGATACTGCTGTAGCTGAAGAACATTTCTGACCTCTTCTGAGTTACTGCTACTGCTTGGGGCAGCACTGGCTTCTTGCAATTGCTTTTCTTTGATGTGAATTTTCAAATGAGATTTCAAATTGTCCAAACGTGCAAACTGCAGATTACACTCTGGGCAGGAGAAAGGCTTTTTTCCTGTGTGCAAGATACAGTGTCTTCTCTTGGCACTTGAATCAGAGAAGGATTTTCCACATATACCACAAGAATATGGCTTTTCTCCTCTGCAAGAGAATGCAATTTACTTCATCAGCAACATCCATTTTAAAGCAACTGCTTTCTGCCAAGTATTACAGGCAAAGTATTTAAACAGAGGCTCTGCTATGCTGCAGAACACTTGCATGCAACCATGTAAGAAAAAATTCAGTGTCAGATTTTCTAGATTTTTCTAGAAAGCTAGTAAGATAAACAGAACCACTGTCATACAGTAATAACTGAGGTTATAGAACTCTGCAGTTGGAATTTGACAAAGAGCAAGTGGCACCACAGACACCAAAATGATCAGAAAAATGCAGCCACCTATTTCAGACCTTTAAAAGCAGTAGTCATTTTAAAGATAAATTTTTATTTCCAGCTTTTTTAGGGCTGGCTGACAAATACCTAAAGGCTAATTTCCTGCCTACAAGCAACTTGGAAAGACCAGAATGTAATTTACTGTACTCTAAATTATTTTATTTCATGCCTCAGTTAAAAGAGCTAATTCTGACATTTTATCACTGTGGTCAGTCTACATACATCTTCCTACACCTCCCTTTACTTCCCCATTATTTAGGAGGGGCAAGCTTTACTGTGATATCTTTTATTGTATCAAATGTAGTTGGGGGAACATGCTGGACAAACTTTCTGACATACATTTTCAACAGGCCAATGCCCCTCACAGCTATACATTTGGTCTAATGAAAGATTTCACAAAAACTCTTGCCTTTCATACATTTCCTTGACCATCACAGCTACAATGCTCCAACCCTACTACCCAATATGCTTAAAAATATCAAGCAGAATTCCATGAGAAAACTATTTTCAAATATGTTAAAATATGCACTGCATTTCACACTTCCTTCCCAGGAATAAATTGGCCAGATTGCCCACATTAATTGCCAGAGATGTCTCTATTTGGAATCTATGCCACAACTGTCACTCTCATGTTTGAATGCCCAAGGTCACATCAGCATTACAGCTTGGAAATGTTTGACACCAATTTTAGGCACACGTGACTAAATGCAACTCTAAGAGTTTAGATTTGTATATGCCAGGGTTTTAAACTGTTAAATAAGCGAGACAACTTTTTTACACCATGACTGTAGGGATTTAATACCTTTCTGGAGAAGTTGACAATGTAATTTTCATATTGTTAAGTGTTACTTGTTTAGTTATGGACACAATACTTAATAGTGTACAATACACAGATGTAAAGACAGATCTTGTTTCAGAGAGGAGTCTTGCCTTGGTTCAAGGAGCACAGGGCAGGGAACAGAAAGCAGAGCAGCAGATTGGGCAGGGGAAGGGGACTGGAGTGGCACTAGTGAGGTGTGAGGCTTACTTTGTGGCATGCCTAGCAAAAAGGTTGGCTCCCCCACTGCTTTAGAACAATGTGTAAAAACCCAAGAATATACAACACAGGGCTCATCATTTTGACTCATTTCTCCATCACAATTTCTAGAAATGTTCAAATGCAGTGAACATGAATTGGTTATTAAGTAAACAGCAAACATACATGCCAATCGAAGCTTTTACTAAATCAACCACATACCAGTTTAAGGACTTATAGCTGCTCAGGGTAGCTGGAAACCAGCACATGACACACACACTGGACTAGATTTTGTCTTCTTAAGAGCTATGGTATAATAAAAAATTCAAACCAGCAAAACCGTACCTGTGGATTCTGATATGAGTTTGAAGAGAACTTTTTGCTGTGAATGACTTGCCACAGATTTCACAAGTAAATGGCTTCTCGCCTGCCAAAAAGAGTTTGACATACATTCAAAAGTTATAGTTAATGTAGAAGTATTATTAATAGTAAAAATGCCATTTGGTTCCTACATATCACTTCTCCTTAGTGGGTTTCAAAGCACTTTACAAAGTAGTTAATTGTCATTATACCCATTTTGCAGATGGGGAAAATGAGGAAGAGAGAGTAATGATTTGTCAAGGTCATCCAGCAGCCCAGTAGCAAAGCCTGGAACAATACCAGATCTCTAGAATCCCAGGCCAGTACTGTCCAGTAGATCACCCCAACTCCCTAGGATGTTCTTAAAAAAAAAAAACTACTGTCCATACAGTCAAGTGTAAATGCAAGTAACTCCTGTTTCTTCTTAACTCAATATGAAGAAGTTACATTCTTACATTTCTAGAGAGATGGAGTACAGACAGCTGAAACTCAAGGGTGAGAGTTGCTGGTTAACTAGGGGTATAACAGGTTTTGTAAGCTACATTTTTGTCTTGTTCCTCCTTGAGAACCCGTGTTTAGGTTTCTTAAGTCCAAGGGCAATAGTGATATCAGCCGACTTAGCCTTTTCACAAAACTGAAAAGAAAAATACTGAATCTATTTTAAAAATGGTACGTCTTGCTTTGGGAACATTTTTGAAAACTTGTACAAAGTGGGCACATCTACATGAGACACTAACTGCGCAGTAGCCTAATAGCACTGTGCAGTAGTCTGCTGGGCAAAAGCCGTGCTAATATGCTACTGTGCAGTAGTATTAGGCTACTGCACAGTAAGCATCACAAAAAACCTGTGCTCCAATGGTACTGCACACAAGTTACACAAGTTACTGTGCACTGATTTAGTACTTGGCTATCCAAGTACTAAACTTAATGTGCAGTAACTATAGTACATTAATGAATGTGTACACACACCGAGTATGTCCTAATGACTCCTTTTATCAAACGTCATGTAAAAGCTGACATTTAATACTAGCTTTGAAGCTCCACTGAAAATGTGACGTTCCTCCATTTTCAGCTTGCTTGTGCCTAGAAAGCACTGGTGACTCACAATCAGTGATGTTTGCCACCCTAAGGACTTGAGGAACCTGAACTCAGATTTTCAAGGAGGATAGAGGCAAAGACTGCAGGTTTTTAAATGTTTATAGCCCTGGTTAGCCATTTCTGATGCCTCTGCCTGGAGAGAGTGCTTCTTGCCTTGAGTCAAAAGCAGGGAACAAGTGTTACTGTGTAAACAAACTACAGATTTTTATTTGTACTTCATTTTCTTTATATTTTAATGGATTCATAAAACAGAAAAAAATCCCTGGTCATCTAAGACCCAGGGCAAAGATTTGAAACTGAATGTAAAATGTTTTACTCCATTTAAATGCTTGCAATATTCAGAAAAGGAAAAACTGGAATCATCCTGTTTTTACTACTATGTGTTTCTGTAATTCATCAGATGCTAGGAATGAATTAAGTAGGCTGTTGGCCACAAAAGCTCATGCCTCCCTGTTAAGGTGCCACCCTGTCCTACCTTCTGCTTGTCTTCAGAATAACACAGCTAACCATCTCTGTTTGTACTTAGTATTGTACTACTTAAAAGAAATTATTTAATATTCTGAGGAGAAAAGACAGTGTCAAGAGTTACAAGTACTATAAAAGTTCAACATTCATTCTACTCTAACTCGTTCATTCCTATGGCTCATGGTATTCCTTCTGTGTCACTAGCAGAGAAAGCAAGAAGGGTGAAGCTAAGATTTGTAAGGATTCTGATGTCATCCATAAAAAGATGCTGTTAAACAAAACACAAAATACTTATTTTATAATAACAGCTCTCCCTGAGTTTGTCAAGTTCCTCCATGAGCTTGACAAGGTTTTCAACTCAGATTAAACCACAAGCAAGCATCTAAAATTTTCTGCAACTTTTTAACTTAAAAAACCCCAAAAGAACAAAAACAGAGTAGCCCTCCTAATACAGCATTGCTTTGGAGTTGTGTTCACATGAGTTGTCTTCTGTGCTTTTTATGAACAGCAGAAGCCACACCTAAGGGACATACTTCCCCACTAAGAACCTGGCCACTATTATTGAGAGAAAATGGCTGAAGCTCATCTCTCTGCCAAGAAGGGCAGTCTGTGAACCTTACTATAGCTGACAATTGTGTTTATCTGCTTTCTCGGCAAAAATAATAATGTATAGTATTACCTGTATGTGTTCTTAGATGTTTCTTTAACTGAGCTGCATCCATGAATTTGCGACGACACAGGGTACATTCCGGTAATGAATGGCCTTGTCGCAATAATAAAAAAAGTGTCAGTGCATAAATGATCCCCTGTACTTCTTCAGTGATCTTTGTTAAAGCATTTCCCTGCAAAATAACCACTTTAATATAATTTATAAAGAAGACAACAATGATTCATTGGTAATTTCTAATGCTGCAAGTTAAAAGAAATTGTAGCAGTATCCTACTCTCTCTCTCCAAATAATTATATTGTTGAAGAAAGGAGACTGTTTTAGCTCTCACTGTCCCAAGAAATCCCATGCCTTTCTTTTTGAATTTTGAGAGTGCTTAATTTCTTCCTACTCTATATGCTTATGATACAGTCATTGTGTATCCAGAACAGGACTGGTCAGGACTTATTTTAAAGCTCATCAATACTATTCAGCAAGAGGAGAGAAACACCACAAGGCACAATGAATAGTGAAGAAAGCACTAGTTTTATAAAATCCCAGCTTACCTTGGGCAGAAATGACCAGAATTAAAATAATAAGACACCAGTCTTTCAAACAGCAGTGCAAATCAGTGCTTCTTGACCATCTGGCAAGCCTGCTTGGTTAACTATATTTCCAACATATCCCATTCCTTCGTCAGCTGTTCAATTCTTAATTCCTCATATGTTCACTAGTTTCTGTACCAACAGTTTGTTTCAGAAACCTGTATCAAGATCTTTGGCAACCCATTACAGAAGATTCACAGCCCAAGCCACCTCTCCAACCCAAATGTGTTATACCTGTATGCACTCGGTAGTGACTCTTTAGTTGTCTCTTTTGGCTGAAAAACTTTCCACACTGATCACAGGTAAAAGACTTCTGTCCTGTAACAAAAAAATCCAAAATATCTATAGAAACACAATACCCTTGTATAAATTTAGACTCCTTACACTGGATGGTAGCCAGCACTCAAAACAAGCCTAATACAAAGTAGGGTTAGGTTAGAGTTGTCATAGGATATTTACCTGTATGAAGGCTCATGTGCTCCAAAAGGGAATGCTTTGTTGTCAGAGCCTTGTTGCAGACAGTACACGTGTACGGACGTTCTCCTGTGTGCATCCGCTCGTGAACCTGGAGAGAGTGCTTCTGGGAAAAGCCTTTGCCACATTCACTGCATTTAAAAGGGCGTTCGCCTAAAGGTAAAGTACCAACTTTGTAAATATTCTAAGCTGGCAGTACGTTACATTTATTATACAATCAGTCTTTAGTAGAGCAGATTTCAGACAGAAATTAAATAAAAGACTTTAGCTTCTTGTAGCAAACATATGAAAGTATAATAATTTCTGTCACTGTATATGCACTGACAATATCCTGTTTTCTATTGGGCAACTAGAATGCAATCTACCCACAAACATAAAGAAGATTATGTTCTCGGGTAAAGATGGAACGAAACAGTAAAAAAACAAACAAACCAAAAAAACCAAAAAACCCCCACCAAAACCTAAAAGATGCAACGTATCTAGTTTGTTACTGGCAGGAAGAACTGGCTAAGATGGTGCTTCTCAAATTATCTGATGTGGCGGACCAGCAATTTTTTTTCCAGTGGGCCAGGGATCGGTGCCCAGTTCAGCCGGTGGCAGCAACTGCGTGTTTAACAGCGCTACACAAATGCGCGACAGGCTGTTTCTTTCTCTTTCCTCACCTCGCACAACATGACGTCACCTGGAGTGTTGGAACGTATGAACTGTGGCGCTATGACATATCAATGTTATGCTTCTGAAAATGTATTTCTTTCTTTCCTGGCAACTCGCTGTGGACCGGTGACCAGTGGCTCGCGGACCAACACCGGTCCGCGGACCACCACTTTGAGAAGCACTGGGCTAAGAAATTCTATGTTACCGTAGCACCACGCAATATTTAAATAATCACAGTCAAACCAACTGTAATAAGTTACAGTACCCTAACCCAAAATGAGCAGTCTTTTCATGCCTACCTGTATGACTTCTCTGATGAATAGCTAAAAAGTGATTATATTTAAACACTTTGCCACAGTCTTTACAGCGAGCTTCAGAACCTGTGCGCTTTTTTTTCCCATCTGTCCTTTTCATCAGTCCTTTCTCTTCTTCATCACCCAGAAGTTTGTAATCTTTTAGCTTGACTGACCTCCGTAACCGACGTTTGCTATACCGACTCTGAGTGCTCTGTATTCCTTGAGACTTGGGATCATAGTTCTCATCCTTTTCAGCTGACAAATCTACAGCAGCATCTGACCCACAAGCATGTTCAGTTTCTTCAACTTCTTTCCTTACTGGACCTTGTTCATCAACAACTGCTTCTTCTAATGCAACTTTTTTCATAAAATTTTGTTTATTCTGCACAGAATTATTCTCTCTTAGCTGTACATCTTCAACAGAAGCTGTCCCTAGTTTTTCTTCTTGGGTATTCTTGACTTTTCTTGGTCTTCCTCGCTTTCGCTTTGGTGGATCTTCATTTTTCTTGTCATTTGGCAAGACAACTACAGAAGCCCCGTTATTAGAAATGACAGGTAATGCATCATTTGGGCGACGGTTCGTCTGATAATCTGTGAAGGCCCATACTAAGTCATTCACTTTTAAGAGCTGTGCAGTAGCCAAGATTTGTTCTGTACTTTTTTCACTGGCCTGGAGATAACCCGTGTAGATGAATTCTAGTAGTGCACCAAAAGTATCTGCAACCATGCCTTCCAGCATATAAATTGACTGGCCTATCTCTCCTTCATCTACAAACATCATTGAAAAGTACTCACTGCTGGCAGCCAGTAGAGCTTTGTGGGCTCTGAAGTGCACGTTTTCCACTATTAAAGTAATATCACAAAGAAAATCTTTTTTCCTTTGTTCCTCAAAATTAGCCAGAATGGTATCTCTGTGAGCTTTGGAGTGGATAACAACAAGTTTCTCTGAAGTGTCTGGAGTTTCTTCTGCCATTTTTACTGCAAACAGGAAAAGAGTTTCCTAGGAGAATAAACAGTTTTATAGCAAAAATAAATCATTTTACAGTTTGCACTGCAACCTCCCCACACTAATTACAGTCTGTTCCGCAAGAGGATTAACAATATAGAAATTGCTGAAGCAATATGGAAACTTGTGGTTTTGCTATAAAAAGTCAGTATTAATGTTGCCATATACTTTCCCCCTTCCAACAGAATAAGATTTTTAAAACTTAAGAAATGGGTAAAGAAACTCCCTTTTGGGAAGAAAATTACTATTGCTGTTTGTTTAGTATCCACGTGCTTCTCAGCACCCTAATCGCTGCCCCTCCTGAAACTAAAATATATTTTTTGCAATTAAAAGCAAACTAAGCAGTACCACTCCTCTCAGCAGAAACAGAAAAATGAAGCTGTACCATTTTTCTACAAAAGTCATTTCTAAGTTTCCCCTGGGACTATGCTATGGAATCCAGACCAACTGAAGTCGATGGCAAAGTCTCCACCAAGTTCTACAACGGCTGGATTTCACCCACAGGCCTGTTCTCCAGTCTGTTGGCAAAACATTGTGCACATCAAAGTCCAAACTTCTCTGAGGCAGCAGAGTTACGCTGCCTTAGCTGAATTAGACTTCTTCTGTTGGCGAAGCTGTGTCCACACCAGACGTTTTGCCAGAATAGATATATTGGCTAGGGAAGTGATCTTTTCATATCCTAAGCTGACAATACCTACCTCAGCAAAGCTTGGTAGTATAGATTGGCTTGTGGTCCTTGCTGATGCTAAATGCCAGTGAGCACTAGACAATTTAGGCAGTTTGTGCTTGTTGATCCTTTTGATTACTGTAGGTGTCATCTAACAGCTTTCACAAAAGAACTGCTCCCTCTCTGACCTTGCTGTCTTTGTGATCAAGGGAAATCTACCAAGCACCTTTAAAGGATACCTTTGGGAACAACAAATCATAAGCAGGCTGGATGCTAGGAACCAAAGCCTGAATACTAATACCAATTTTATAGCACACTGTAATCTACCTGATTCTTGAAGCTCTTCCTATATGCAACAGATGATAGCAACCCTTTTGAGCAGTCTCAATCCCCCCCAATAATCAATTTTCTTTTCTTAACTCTTTAGGTGATGTCTGCTAACCTGGGACTTTCCCTCCAAACTTACAGCTCCATTCTCTGTTGTTAACTGTGATCAGTGGCTGGGCTACTTTCTGTCACAACCCAAGGGTGTGATTTTTGTTTTGTGTGTGCTTTGGCGCCACTGAATTATTTTCCCGCCAAATTGTAGCTTTCTTTGCAGTGTGCATTTCTTCTTTGCAGCTAAGAAATGCTCGTTGCAAAGAGTTCCCGCCATTTGTATGATAATTCGAGCCCCATTATTGGCTTGCGTGAAATTATTCACACGTGGCGGCTAGTGATTGGCTTGCTAGCCGTATAAAAAGCTTGAGTGGTTTCCACCCAAGTTGGAGGACTCCATGAACACCAGGAGGAGGGATCTTCATGCTGTGTGAAGATCTCTAAGCACTGCGGAGCCTATCGGACCCAGCGCATTTCAAGCGGGCAACAGAGGTCTGATCAGCCTCTAGCCTTTCCCCGTCGCCATTTGCAATCCTCGACGTATCCCTCTCCCTGCGCGCAAAAGGACCCACGGAGCCTCAACAACTCTGTGGGAGAGACCCGAGCTTGTCGTAGTCCTCAAACAAGGATTTAATTGGAGCTGTGCCTGGAAAACTGTCCAGCCTACACTGCAACCATCTTCGGTGTAAGTAAACAATCTTGAATCAACCATTACGCGTCTGTGACTAATTCTAGCATGTCGCCTGTTCTCTCCGATCCAGCGTGCCCGGGCTGCTGGCCACAGCCTGCGCGGCGCGAAAAAGGGCCCAGAGCGCTCCCGGCCCGCACACTTTCCTCCTCAGAACGGATGAGGAGTGTCTGGCATTCGAGAGTTTGTCTAACATCATTTCAACCACTGAGTTGGTCTAACGAAAGGCACTGTCCACAACATCCCTGCCTCCTGCCTCAAAGAACGAAATTTAAAAAAAAACGAGCCACATCCTTGTGCCCTGCAGAGATGGGACACTCAGAGCACGTGCAGAATGTGCCCAAACTTCCCCCTGCGTGGGCCTTTCACAACGCTCCTCCCCCTCCCAACTGCTTTCCCACAAGTGCATGCAGCTATAAGGCCTGTGCACTGCAGCTGGGCAACTGGGTCAGCAACACTGCACCCTGCAGCAGCGCCTCTGCCAGAGGACTGGTTCTTGGGCTGCTTTTCAGGTGCTCTTGCAGCACCTGGCCTCGCCGCACAATGAACTGGCTTCAGTCTGCGGGTAGCTGTGGCCTGTGTGATGTCCCTGGTGCCAGTTCCTGTGTTTCTGCCTGGGTGCCCAGACCCTGGGCTTCAGAGCCAGGGGCTGACTTTGGCTTGCTTCCTGACAGCTGCTTCTGGTAACCCCCCTGCTTGATCTTGCCTTACCCCTTGGCTATGGATGCTCTGTGGTCCCACCACGCCCCGAACCTGCTGGCCACCCCCTCCTGGCCCTGGCCAAGCCACCCGTGTATTTGACCGGGACGGAGGCTCTGGTCAGGGGCCGTGGTCTTGTCCTCTGTCCGTTCCCGTCTCAAGGCAGAGGTTGCCTGGGCAGCGCCTGGGGGCTCCCCGGACTCCTGCCCGCGTTGCCCTTTATTTGTCCCACGAGTTGAGCCGACACATCCCCTCGACCCTCTGCCGCCGCACGGGCCCGTCCGCGCGTGTCCAACAAGCCTCAGCTCGGCCGCTG